GCAAAAACAGTTCACTGTATTAATCATGCCATGGATAAGAATGGCAAAAAAGATATAACATCTAATATAGAGCTTTTTGATAATATTCTGCAATCTGCAGGCTTCAGGTGACATATTGAATGAAAAATGAAATTGATGACATGTATTGTATCCCATATGATTCTGGAGATGTACATTATTGAAATAATTCAATATAGAAATAAAATTTACTTTGACTACCATAAAAATTCTCAGCCATGCCTGTTTTAAACACACATAAACATACCATAAGCGATATATATCTATATTCACAAACACAAGGGCAAGTGTAAAAAAAAAAATAATCAGCAGGTAGTCAACACATTCCCTTCAATTTGTCCTTTCTCTCAGCTGTACACTAACACAAATGCCAAGCAAAGGATTAACGTAGAAAAAACTCCACATCATAAAGAGGGAAAAGTAGGCAGGTTTTGTTCTACCAGCTGGAGGGAAAACAAGTACATGCTTTATGTTCAGCAAAGGAAATGAATGAGGTTGCATAAAATCCTCCTCACCTGTCCCCTGCCAGCAAAGGACATGTACAATATGACAGCACAATAGCTTTGCCAATCTATTCAATTCTTCACAGATCTCTTGAAGCTGGAAGGTGTCTCACTGAGATGCAGTTGCAGTTGCAGTGCAGATCTTAATAGATTCAGAGGCAAAACCGTAAGAATTGCACTGATGTCCTGTCATTGCCAAAGGGGGCTGCTGCATCCTAGTGATTACCATTCAATAAAAAGGTTAAGGCAACTGAATTTCATGCATGAGGCACATCTTCCAGAAGCCCTTGGTACAAGTCTTTCAGTCTAAAGTCCACAGGGTACACCACCAAAGAATAAAATACCAATAGAAATGCCAACAAAATGTTTCCTCTGTATGGTTTATCTTGTATCAGAAGTCAAATACTATAGCTGTAAGAAGCAGTATTCTATAGGTTAACTTACTGGGGGAAAAAAAAGTTCTAAACCAATTAGTAACTGTTCTTAGTTTTACATTTGATTAATTTCTTCCTGTAAATAAGTGATTCCTAAGAAATCTCATTCATTTCAGGAACTTTAGGAGAGAAAACAGTAGACATTGTCCCTGATGGTCATAGTGCTTAGACAAATTAGATTTACTTCTTAGCATTATCTTTTCCCACTCCTCTTTGTACTCAAGGTATATAAAGACAACAGAGTGAAATAGGCAGACATTTGGAGCACAGACCACATTATCAACACAGCTCACAGAGAGGGAAAACATACTTTAAAGAGATGAGCTAAATATAGATTCAATAACTTCCTTGGACTATAATGGCTCAAGATGTAAACTTAGAATCTTTTACCCCAGAAGCGAAGAGAAATAGCAATTATAAGTCTACAACAAGGTGATATTTACTCTTCTGAAAAATATCACATGGGCAATGTCTTTTAATGGACACGGTCTGCATTTTCATCTCAGAAAACAGGTCTCTTCAAATAATAGCAAAATTGACCTGAATCACATTTGTAGTACAGCTTCTTCACTTTGAAAACGTTAACAGTTCTGAAACAAATCCTTATTAGAAGCTGAATTTTGGAAATTGTCTCTTGAGCTGTAACACTGAATTCAAATAATGAACTAAAGATTCTGGAACTATTTGTGTTGTAAAGATTTTGAAAACCATTGCAGATCTGCTACCTCATATATTTCTTGACATAGTCACTGCTATATTTCTTCTCTGATATTCTTTCCCACTTTTTTTTTTTTTTAAAATCCAGACTACATTAATACCATATATATTTTACAGGAAGGAAGAAAGGTAAGGCAAATTAATTCAGATGTCTCTGTTTTAGACTACAATTGAAGAAATACTTTACTTCAGAGCAACATACAACATCAATGCACAATATGGGACAACATGTAGCAGTCAATAAGGAACACGGCACACCTATATCAACAATACTGTCATAAAGATCAAAACCCAAAATATGACATTACAAAAATCCTAATTCCCATAATAAACCTCAGTAGCTGGCCTTTTTTTGGCATATTAAATTCACAGGTAAAAACCACAACTGAAAATCACTCACATATGTATTTATTGAGAAGCAAATTATTCTATCCCTTACCAATTTGGGAACACTACCCCATAAAAATAAAACTCATCAGTCTCAGTCCTGACTCTACAATAAAGGAGATGAGCAAGAAGCAGTGATAAGAGGATGACACAAATTGCTACTGGAGGGAAAAATTTTCCAAGTCGTACTTTTTCTTCAGAAAAAACAGACTGAAAAAAGGATGGCTGATTAAGAGATCATGAGTAGCTTAGAAGGCCCAAAGTAGTCCCACCAAAACCAGATTAACACACTGTTATGTTAATGACACACAGAGTCATTAATTTTTTATTATTTGAAGGAGATACTGCATTTCCAACAGGACTTCACTTTCTTTCCCTCCAAGTACTGACCTTATCCATTACTCTCCTGCCCATGGAGTCTAATATGATCACAGTCTGAATTGATTTGGCTGAAAAGAATTATGGCAAAGACCTTACATTGCAGTTACCCTTGAAGAACAGCTAGCATATGCACTTCTAACTATCACCACTAGCAATATGAAGCTTTCATTTCCAACTTCAGTATTAGGAAGTACAGATAACAGAATAACACATTACAAGACTCCATTGTTTAAACAAAGCAAAACATTCCCTTGTTCAACACTATGAAGAAGGGATTTATTTGATTCAAAAAAAATCTGATAACACAGCAAATACTTCTCCTTCCAGAGAATTCTTTCTACCCATTAAGTGACAGCATATCCTATGTATCTTTTGCACTTATCTGCATCTGCTGAAAGCTAAAAATAATGGTGCCTTTAGGAATTGTACCCTACTGAGTTTGTGAAAGATGGCGTGAGGCATTTCTGCTCTGCACATTTTATTTTTACACTGCTTAAAACTGCTGTTATTCCTGAGCCTGATTTATGGGTACCCTGGGGTACTCCTAACCCCTTTTGATGTTATTTCTACTGGAAACAGTTGACAAAAGCAGAACTTCCCTCGAGGATTGCACAGTTTTAGTATTTGTTTCAACTTTCAGCCATTTGCTCAACCTATTAAAGCTTCTTCAAAGACATAGAATAGCAACCCATCACCTTGAATGCTACAGAAAAAAAAATAAATGCATAAAGGCTGCCAATTCAGATTAACTCTGGTGTAGAAAAATAGAATACATTGGAAGGCATTACACTATATGGAAAACTGCCTATGGATTTAGTATAGCCCTATGAGGGTATTTGGCTCTGAAGTATTTCACTCTGGTGGTCAGAGTTGCATGAACATATTCATAGAAAATATAAACCTAAGGCAATAAAAGTGTTCCTAATGTAAACTTGAGAACGAAAACTGGCAATAGACTTTAACGTTACTTCCACCTTGTATTTTTTCCATGTAACAGAGTACACTACTGCTTTAAATATGATTTTTATGAGGTTTGCTAAAACCATACAAATGCTGTGCCAAGTATCTTGGAGCTTAATTGCTCTGCCTGTGGTGGACTAACCATCCATGATAAATGGACGGAACCAACTAGATATATGGTGTACAAAAATATTTCAGAAATACATAAACAGTACCTGGTTGCCATCTTTTCCTGTTTTATTTTTTTCTTCAGAATAAAAAGGTAGAAAAATGTATTTTGAAGAACATATATGATTTTTTCATTTTATTATAATGAAGCTAATATAAAGTAATACCTAATGTACTGAATACAGTTAATCTTCTTTTCCACCTGAATGCTACAGAATGATGAAGGTAGGTTTCACAAAATACTACAAACTGCAGAGTGCCCTGGATGCTACTTTTCAACTGCATAAGAGTGTTAGAAAGTAATTGCCAGTACAATCATCTAATGTTTAACTAAAGTTAAAAGATTATGGGTATTTGTGTAATGTCTTGGAGTTATATATAAATATTACAAGAATCCTAGGTTGGAGAAAAGAATTAGGAACTCAAAAAACTGAGCAGAGATTTCATAAAGTAGCCCAAAGATTTTACAATACTTATGCAGCACTGATAATTTATTTCATTGTCCAATCTCTCACTCTTTGCAATGGTCAAAGGCTTACATTTGATCATCCTTGCAACAGGTAAAAGTTAAAATCAGAAACTAAAATAATTTCTTAGTAGTTGAGTCTGCACCCTTGCTGCAAAATGATGAAGTACCAGTTTGACAGAGACCGATATTTAGCCTTTATTTAACCTGTACTTGGGATCCAGTTCTGTGAATACACCGCAGAGGATGCTGCCAAAATCAGCTCTTTCCAGAAGACACACCGTATGAATCAGCAGAGTTTAAGTGTCCCTTCCCATTTCCCCCTTTCGACAACTACCATTTTGCAATTCTGCTTGGTATACATTTTTATGCAAAATATCTCCTAATCAGTAGATAAATGTGTTTCAGGTAATTCTTCACTACAATGGTAGCTGTCTTTTTCGGGCAATTGGTTTTTAATCCATGCATTTGCAAGTAATGGGTATTCTTGAATGTATGAGCCCAAACACCATATGCAAAGATGGATTACAGTATTTAAAACTGCAATAAACAGAAATATGAGAACAGATGCATTTTACTTTGATTTATAGAACAAATATCAAGAAGTTAATTTCTGCAGGAACAGTGTGTCCCCCTCGAAAATCAAGCTTTCTTTCACAGGTTTCTGAATACGTATTAACAGAAAATATCTACACAGTTTTGCCACTACCTTGAGCACTCGAGGTTTTAGTTAGAGCTTTAGCAGTCAGATTTTTTACGTGCAACACAACTAAGGTACAAAAGTATGAACTGTAATTGTACCAGCAAAACAAAGAACACTTCTGAAAATATGGCCCACTTTTCACCACACTACCAGGGGAAAAAGAATCTATAAAAAGGAAAACAGAGGATAAAAGGCTCTTTGGAAGTGATAAGTACTTTGAAGCACTGAGACTGTGCATCTCTGACACTTTTTGCTGTACTTACCTAATATCAGTGCATGTTATACATGTGATACAGCGACTGTTTGTTGTAACGAGGTTCAAAGCCACGGATGTTTCATTGTCAGTGGTTGGGTGTGCTCCACATTTAAAGTAAAACTCCTGAAATATTGAAGGAGAGATAAAGAGAAGATTATGTACCTGTGGTTCACGTCCTTCCTTTATCTTTGGCTAACTGACATTTGAGAAAACAGACAAATCACCACTTCCAACAGCAAAGGAGGACAATCATTAGGAAAGGTTTACAAGAGACCCTTTCCAAAAATACCAGTCCAGGTGTGTATTTTGTTCAGTGACTTTCCTAGCAAAGAAGATATCTACTTGTGTACTAAATTCATATCAGTGTGACACAGTCTGTGATTTTCTGGATTTACAGAAAAAAATTGCTTCATTTAGACTTCATCTAAGTATAGTCATCAAAGGCAAAATACTATAATTGTCAAAATGCATTAATATTTCCACTTTTTCATTACAGATATTAACATTTTCTGAATTCTACAACACAGACTTTTAGCCTTCTGGCCTTGCTTTTTTAATGTTGGTAATCTTTAAGATACAATTTTACCATCACATAAAAGGCAAGCTCTAGCTTTCTTGGAACACATATTACATTTATATGGTGTTCGAATTAAGTTGCTTTAGTCCATACTGCCCTATATAGCCTCTTAGACTGTCTTCACTAGCATCCTACTTTTCATACAACTGTGTGCTTTGTTCTCTTTTCCACTGCACCCCAGGGAAAGCCATAGGAATCACACCATTCTTTGATAAGATTTTGTTATAAGAGATTGCTTTAAATATCCAAATCACTCTATGTATATGTAAATAAAAGCTGTCTGAAGACATGTGTTTTGCAATAGGAGCCACAGATTACAGTTTGTAGTTTCTTTGTTCCTATGAGACCTTTCTTCCAGTATTGAATTGTGCAGGTTTGTAATGAAAACATAAATACTGGTATAAATGAAGTGTGAATTGGAAGGTAAGGGCACAAAAGCATTGGAAGAAAGGATGAGAAGGCATAAAAGAATGACAAGTGTTGATGGCATAAAGATATTAAGGAAAAAAGATGACTCTCAAGACACCCAGACTTGGGAAAAATCCTATGAAAAAATAGGGAAAACAAACAAACAAACAAAACTGCAGCAACAGAAAAAGATACAGGTAGCGAATAAATCAGCAGCATTTCCTAGTGACTCACAGAGGTGGGACAGGATGAAGGAAAAAAATTAGTTGCTGTAAACTTCTTTAGGGTGAAAAAGTCACATCCAAACCCCAGCATTAAGAACAATCCCAAAGCCATGAAAAAGACCTGCTTGGTGTGTGCTAGTGTCAACTCCAAGTTCCTAGCTAGACTATCTGGACACATATCGTAACACTTGTCAATATATGAATAAAAGAGAATGTGTGGATGAGTGTAGATGAAAAAAATCAGTTCTGATTAATACAAAATCATCTTTCTCTCCATAGAGTTTTGCATTGAGATTTATGACAATACTGTACTAAAATTAGTCCAGACAGGTGCTGTTACTTTTTTAATACCTGCAGCCTTGCAGTAGGGAGTTTTTCATCTGCAAAACAGTTGTCAATTACTGGGTTTGTTTCTTCAGTTGCAATCACTTGGACACATTGTGTATTTCTACATGTGGCAAATCCAGTACTATACAGTACTGTACCACTCTAAGGTAGACTCTGGTAACTGGGGACATGAGAAGTATTAATGCAACGTTCGTCCTAGGTTAGTCAACCCTGTTTCTTACAGAAGCACTGATACACGAAACATATTCAACACAAAATATTCAAACACGGCTATAAGTGAAGGACACAATACCTGAAGCATGTGTAAGTAGCAGTTTAAGAGAAGTATGGGGTAGGAGTACAGTTTAAAGGCAAGCCTATTTTTAAGCCAACTGTTGACAAAACTTTCGAAGTAGTCACCTGTATATGTTTATATACATTAAATTTTTTGACAGATAAATTATCTTTCTGTCCTGCTTTATAACATCAGGAAGTAGTCCCAAGCAAGAAAATATGCTTAAAGTTATCTTTCAACAAGACTTCAGACTTTCTAAGTTTTTGCTCTTGTTCAATACCCAGTTACACACGGAGTTTGTAAATATTAGCTTAACTTGAAGCATTTCAGCTTCAAGAAAGTCAATGGAATACATGAAAACCTTACACAATCTGTAACTTCAATTTATTTTCAACCTTTAAAAACTTATCCATTGATCTTTGTATTATTTGCTAATGGGTTTTGGAGCTTGGGTTTTCTTTACCCTTTAATTTAATTTTACTTTTGTTTGAATTAAATGGTAAGAAGAATTTATTTCAATGCAGAAGTCTTGAAATATATCTCCTTACTTCAGTACATCTTCTGCATGCAGCTAAAAGAATATTGACAACTAACAACTCCAAAACAGGTAAACTACAGGCAAGAAAACATATAAAAGAAAATTAATTTTTGATAAAAGTACTGACCACTATAATAAAATATTATTTGAGTCACAAACAAAAAGAGTAATATAGGTATTAAGCTCTGAAACACTTGAACTAGGTTTAGCCTTTTTTTTTCCTGAACAATATCTGTTTGATGATTCTAATTACTTTTCATAATACCTTACAATTGTTCTTGTCATGAAAGCAACTTGACGAAGATAGAAATTAAATAAAGCAACGCAATTCTTATTCCATGGAAAGACAGACGGACAGCCAGGGAAAAAATAGTCAAAAGTCTTGCGTTACATTCCCAAAATACTTTTGCTGTATTATTAGGAAAATTACTTTTCTGTACTTCTGTTTATCAGCCCAAAAACTGCTTTAAGAAAACTCTTCTACTAATTAAATTTATTATATGCTTTGGTGTTGCTGAATGTAGAACATTATGTAACGTGAAAATACTGTTTAAAATAACAAAAGAAAATATTGCCACTCTCCAAAGCTATTCATTTAAAGACTTCCCGCTTCACTAAACTGCAATTAAAGACAAAGCAAATCTTAATATTAAATGTAAACAGAACAGAGGAAAAAAAAATCCTCAAGATTATGTATCAAGTATTTGTTAAGAAGAAATACTGAAGATTAAAGAATAAAACAATTATGCAAAAAAAAAGTGCTGAGACTAGCAGTACAGTAAAACTAACCCACTTATAAAATGTTCACCCTTGCAAAATCAAAAGTTGTCAACACAGACAATCCACAGTTCTACAAAATCAACACAACATTCTACAAGTGTAGGCCTGAGATCTCAGTGCTGCGATGGGAGTTTGGAAATACGGGGAGAGATGGGAATCTGGAAAACTCGATATGCTGAGTGCCTGACAGTTCTGGATTAGCGTGGACTCCATTTTCACAATTTTTTTTTCTGTACTAATACACATTCCACTTGTTTAAAGGCCTTTAAAAGTAACGAACTCAACTGAGTTTCCAGTTGTATATAAAAGTTTATGTTGCCTGGTTTACATTGCATAAATACACAATCCATTAATATTTATTTGTTGCATCTACCAGATCACCCAGAAATTTAACAGGCTTTTTTATGCCAGGGCATATACCTATGAAGCTATCATGACAGATAACCCATTGGCACAAGTTGCTTCTCAACTACTTCCAGCAGTGAAATTACTGAAAGCAAAACATAGGAGGAAGAATTTAGCCACTTTTCACTCTCCACACTTGCATTTCATCAGGCATGTAAATGTAGCTATTCTTTTATTTAGTCCTTCACCCAGTGTTTGATAGCTTAAGGAGGGAAATTTGCTGCATTTTTTAATCCAAATCACTTACGTTCCAAGGTTAATCTCTGAACAGGTGTAGAGACCTTGGAGCCAGCAAGTTTAGGACTAACACTCTAATTTTGCCACAGACTGTAAAATTCATACAAACAGTTATTACTTCTTAAAATTGATACCAAAATGTCTCTCTAAACTTAACTTATGCTATATGAGACAATACTTTTAAAATATTAATCTTATAAAAAAACCCTCAAACTTTACAGAATAACAGAAAAGGAATGGGCAAAAATTTATGCAGTCTCCATCACTATCTGACCACTTCCAATATATTTTAAAATAGAAAAAATGACATTATTCCTCTATGCACTTGCATTATTTGGCACAAAAAAATTCTGATGAATGCTTTTTTTTTAACGTATTTGTGTTGAGCAATAAGGATATCTAGAAATTACTGCAAAAGCTGTCAAAATTTAGTGCTTTTCTTAGTTCTGAAAGTGAGTAGTTTTATGTTCACCTTCTACTGCAGTGAGCACCTTTAGATCACTTTCTTGCCTAAAGGCATAGGTCCCATGAAATTGTGAACATTCTATTTAACACTATAAATGTCTTCCTTTTGGCAGTGTATCTGATAGATTGTTATTCAGAGAAGGGAGCAGACATCACTCTTACATACTCTGTCATATTCTTCACTCCTGTTATCGCTTCTGTGTCACACAACATCATAAAAAGTGCACGAGGGAAGAAAAGGTTCAAAGATACATGGTCACTGTTAGCTACTTTTTATGAAGCTCAAGAAGTAAATGCTGAAATTTATCAAAAAAATAACCTTCTTTGATCTTTTACCAAAAATATATCTCTGTAAATTCTTTTCACACAAAACAGGGGTTTACATACCTCTAACTGCTGATGATAAGCAAACTGCCTTCTATATGATCAAGTAACTAACACAAGTAAGACCAAAGACAAAACCACCACAGAGAAGGCAGGGTGTGAAAAACAAAAAGGCCTAGAAGAAACTTTACCCTTTTGATACATACCCAGTTTACTGTACTGTCAGGAAAAAAAAAAAAGCATTACTCTTTTCTAAGAAGTACCAAGATAGCCTGCACCTTCGCTGAGATTCAACATATACACATGAAAATACAGGTTCCTACCCTTTTTTCTCATTCTATGCTGTGTAGGTTGGCTAAAATTCCTAAGGAAGCTCGGCAATATTTCTTTCTCCCAGTTCTTAATAAGCTAGAAAATAAGGTGAGGGTCTTATGGTATTTTTCCCCTGGATTATCTACATGTGTGTTTATTTAGGACTGATAGGCAAAGCCATTTATGAATGTTTTATAGCCACTGAAGGTGTAGTTTTAATTTTTTCAAATT